GGAATTATTCATTGTTTTTATCTGGGAAGAGAATTTGTGAAGAATTGCATCCTCAGTGGACACAGAGAGAATGAATTGTGTGTATATATATATATCGGCTGATGGAGGCAGGTGCCAGGAGAATGAGATGGAACAGAGTAAGTGTTAGAATTCTGAGAAAAAGATAGTAAGTCAGCAGTGGCTCTAGTCAGTTTGTGAAGTAGGGTTGCTGGTGTATCTCACCCTCCACATTTTGTACTTCAGTTTTAATGGACACTGGTTGAAACATCCAAATATTTGATTTCTCTTCTCACAGCAAAGTAGCAGACGAGTGACATGGATCTACTGATCACACAACTTGCTCGGATTCAAAGACTCCCCCCTTCCCAATTTTTCTTCTTAGGACTTCACCACATTAGTCTTCAGCTCCATCCTAGGACGCTTGCAGAACAGAGCTAGGACGGAGCCAGACAGAGCCCAGCACATAACACTGGGCGATTTCTGGTGGGGCTCTGTCCTGGCTGCATCCTGCAAGCATCCTAGAACGGAGCCCTGAAAACATGGGAGGCTTCACATGTTCTCATCTAGTAAGCCAGGGAAAATGTGAAGGGAGGTCAGGTAGTAATGCTTTCCCATGCGGGATGGCAATGCAGGGTGCGGGACAATGGTTTCCCTCGCTGCCTGCTGGATTTGCCCTGCAGATACCCCTGGCTTGAGGACCTCCATCTGATGAGATCATTCGTCCTTTCTTGATATTTTCTAAACTGGATGGCCCCACCTATCTTGCTCTCCAGCTCATGAGAGAGGAAGGGCATGTGTTACAGTAGTGAAGAATTGTAACATATTGGCTTCATCCTTGATAATCAGGACAGAAGTGCTAGCATTTGAAGGACTAGCTGAGAATGCAGATTCTGGAAATGGAGGTAAAGGTCTCCAAGGGACAGAGGATCTGATGCTCTCCCACACACAATACGTTATGTTTGGAAGTCCATATGGGTGCGTATTTGTTTTTGATGACTCATTTAGGACCTTTCCTAGAAGCTATGGTTTTTAAAGGCACCTGTTTCTTTCAGATGAAAATAAGGCTCTCTCTAGAAACAAGTTTTGCCCCATAGCAGTATTATTTAAGTGGGGAGAGGAATATCAACTGCTATGGCTGACATTGAATACATGAAGTCAGATCTCATCCCCACACAAAAGCACTTTCTCCTCAGAAGCCATTATACAGGTTGGGCATCCCATAACTAAAATTCTGAAATCCAAAATCTGAAATTGTTCACATGAGTAGGTGAGACAACAAAATCTTTGCTTTCTGATGGTTCAATACAAACACACTATGTTTTGTGCACAAAATTGTTTAAAGTATTGTGTATAAAATTAGCTTCAAGCTATGTATATGAAGTGTTTCATAAAAAAATAAATTAATTTAGTGTTTACATTTGTGTCCCATCACCAAGATATTAAGTTAATGTACATATTTTCAAATACAGATGTTCCATTTGTTTTTACAAAAAATCTAAAATTCAAAACACTTCTGGTCTCAAGTATTTGGAATAGGGGTTCCTCAACCTGTATTGCTTGATCTTACTCCAGATTCCTCAGAGAGAAGGCGGAAGGAAGTCTTTGCTAACTTCTTGTGGTTGTTGGGTATGTCATTGCTCTACTTTAAAAAAAAACTTCTGTGGAGTTGTTGTAAGACAGAGCACAGAAAATTGGATTTAATGTGGCCTTTGACACTACTGAACGAAGTCATGCTAATCTAAGCTTACAAGTGGCAAAACATGCTGATAATACTAATTATCTAACTAACTGACAATTACATGCTGTAATATTAAAATGTTAGATCCAAATTGTTCACTGAGGACACTTCAGTGGAAATGTTTTTGTTTATTTATCAACTTTAATAGTTTTCAATAAATTTGCAGTAATAGTTTAAATAACAATAAATTCAAAACTGCAATGAAAAGATAACAAAAGAAAACAAAATAAAATTGCAGGAAAAAAAGTGGTGGATCAATGTCAAAGATCTACATTTAGCAAGAAAGATCAAACAAAAAGGAGACATCAATAACAACAACAAACAGATCATTTTTTTTCCCACTGTAAGGATGTGAGAGAGAATATCAACTTCATCTCTGGGTGAAAGGAGGAAAATTTCATATTTCAAGGACTGCCACACACACAACCCTATCTCATTTGGGTTAATAGGAATCTAAATGACTGTTGGCAGGTGAAGTTGGACCTGATCATAAAGCAGTGGGAGAGATCTGCATGAGCTATTTGACATCTTGACTGAAAAAGAGCTCATGCATTTTTTAAAAAACTTGACAAACCAGTGGCTATACTGAAGGGGGATTCTTGGAGTTGTCAAAAATAATTTTCCCAGGATCTGATACACACACATCATATTCTTAAAAATACACTGAAATTCAGGGGAGGCATTTAAATGAATGTTTATGAGAATTGGGTTTAAAAGTCCACATAAAACAACATTGTTATTTCACATGACCTTTTTCTACCACACATTTTTCTAGGTACAGACACATCTGGAGGAAGCATTTCCAAGCTGTTTATATACAATGAGCAAACAAGCAATTCAGTATTATAGGTTGCTAAACAAATATGTTTATAATTACTTCAAGCAGGGTATTTGCCAGGCTTATAAAAATCCAAATTTATGTCAAACAGTCACATTTTCTGAATTAACATCAACCTTTTAATTCTGTGTTAAGAAGCAACTGTGCAAATGATGCAAGCTTGCTTATACTTCCAGCATGTGTGATGCTATTATTAGAATATTTTTATATTGTCATTTTAGCCTAGACCAGAACTAGCTGGGAAAATTGGAACCTCGAGTCCCACAGACTACTCTTTTCCTAACAAAAAACAAACACCCAATGCTGAATTGCATCCTCTGGAAATCAATAAGGAAAGAGCTATATTTGAATGTATCAGAATATATTGAAAGATCTGTACAACATATCCCCCATCCTGATCTATTTCTGATGAATTTCCAGAATGATTCATGATTTTGGGACCCTAATGACCTCATCAGATGGGGTACTTTTTGGCAACATGCACCAGTTTGTCTATACTTTTACGACATAGCCTAGCCCATGTACAGCTACTTCTGGTGGGGCTCTGTTGCAAAAGTATAGATAAACAGGCACATGCCACCATGGTGACAACATGGGAGGTTTCCTGTATGGTATTGGATCAATGGAGGGAAGCCAGATGCTCAACAATTCCCCAATGGGATGGGGCCATGAGTAATTTAAGCAATGCAGGGCATGAGGACACAGGTTCCCCGTATTCCCCGATGGGCAGCGCCAATTTCACAATGATGTGGTGATTCCGGCAACCCATCTGATGAGGTTGCAGGGCCAGAGGTAGACTTTGGGGAAACTCCCCCAGATTCAGATACTGGGGTTAATTCTTGTATCTATCTCTGTTATCTCAGTTTCTTTTCTACTTCTGAGTGTCCCCATAGATCAGTGATGGGCAACCTTTTGAGCTTGGTGTGTCAAAATTTGCCAAAAACCTGAGCATAACTTGGGTGGGGTGTCAACTTTGAGGAAAAACCCCCCATAATTTTGCAATATTTATAGTTTAAATAAGAAAAATGTATATTCCATGCTGAGGTATGGAGTGAACAATGCTCAAACGTGCAGATATTAAATTTGTAGAGCGTTTTACAAATTTAAGGATAGAATTAGATTGGCTCTTATGAGGTGTACTTCTCTGTATGCGGCTGCATGTGGCTGCCTGTCATCAAAAATAGCCATGCGTGTCAGTGCTGACACGCGTGTCATAGGTTCACCATCACCATAGGTTCACCTATCATAAGGATAGAATTAGATTGGCTCTTATAAGGTGTACTTCTCTGTATGCGGCTGCATGTGGCTGCCTCTAATAAAAAATAGCCATGCATGTCAGTGAACGCGTGTCATAGGTTCACCATCACGGCCATAGATGAAGCACTGAATGGGCATCTCATCATGTAGCTATGGAGGTTTTTCTTCAACCTTCTTTCCTTTATTACATTTCTGGAGAGAGGAGGAAACACCACTTACAACAGACTTGAAGGAATAAACTATTGAAACCATATTTCAAATATGGACAATGACTGGATGCAGGAAGAACCACTACAAGTTGTGTATTCCAGGAACATAATAGTCCAGCATTTACTGGGACTTTTGGTTCACCTGGAAGAGCCTTTTTTCTAAGCACCAATTTCTCTTCAAAGTGATGGACCCTTGACCAATGATCGTTTGTGAGTCATAGGCTTCCTCTCCATTGAGAATTTAGAGGAATAAAAATAGGTTGTAGCCAATGAGCACAAATATGGCACCAGTCCCTGGCATATTAGAAAAAACCTGGTGGTCCCACACATCAAAAAACTTCTCTTAATCTCGAAACCTTCCTGTATCAGCACCAGAATATTTTATTCTCTGAGAGTATAACATAACTCTAGCTCATATTCAATCTCATCTTCTTTTTTTTTAAAGGAAAACCCTGTTTTTGTTTTCTTTTCTTCCTTTCTTTTTGCCTTTGGCCTGGGCTACCATCCAGTATAAGTAGAGGCTGATCCAAGAACTCGTCAGGAAGTAGGAATGTCACCTGAGGCAACATCCAGTAGTATGCCTGAACATATGCATATAATCATATGTGTGAGGATGAACAACCACAGAGGATTTGGAAGTGCTGGTAGTCACACTCTGTGCAGGCTGGCATACACCAAATTAAGGTAAACTAAGCTCCCATGTGAGCACAGTGGATACGCCTTGTAGAAACAAATTCTCCTTAGAATTATGAGGTGTATGGCTCTTGGTCCTAAAGCCATTTCAGAGTGAAACCAGATTTTTTTGCCTCTGGTAATGCAGAACCAGTTTAGGAATGAATACTCACTTTAGCCCTAGGACAAGGATCAGGTGTAGACTGGACCTAGGACTTGAGATACACTTTAAAAATATGTCACTCTCTTAATTTGAACATCACAAATGACTTGCTTAAAACCAGTGGGAGTTTTGATCACTTTTATTTTATTTGTACTTTCTTTTGGCATTATTGACAATTTGTAACCCAATCAACACTGCCAAATAATGGAGTTTGAAACTACATTATATGGCCGGTATAGATCCAGCTCGAGGCCCCATCGACACTGTACATTTAATGCAGATCAAACTGTATTATATAGTCAAACTTATATAATGCTGCATTATTTGAGTCTCTCTAACCATGTAATGCCGTTTGATCTGCATTAAATGGTCAGTGTAAATGGGGCCTTAGACCTTCTGAAGTTCCCCATAATTGGTGCAGAGTAAGTACAACATAGGTTTAACCTGCTAGGGCAGTATTGGCAGATGGAGAAATTCTTGTCCACTAGAAATCATATCAGACACTTCTGTTTTTCCAAAACAATGAGGACTACAGACTTGTTTTTTTTTTTAAAAATGAAAGGACTGACTTAGAAGTCTGGCAGCCTTGCTACTAGTTTGATGCATATGTGCATGATGTTCGGCAGCAATAATAGCTGAACACCAATGACCTGAAGGCTTTGTAAATATTCTGATTCTGAGTGCAGACAAAGCCACCACTTCTCTTGGCTTGTTGAGCTGCATAGTTTAAGTCTCCAATGCAAGTCCATTGGTCTTCAGGCTTCAATGAAACACACCATTTTGAATGATCATAATAGGATAAGAAGGAAGAATTCCAAGGTGTTTGGATCTGTTTTATGTTGTAGACATGATAAGGAAGAGAACAATTGGAGAAGAGGCGATGTCCTTTGTGCTGCCAGGATTCTATTAGAAAATCTGTTTGCAGTGTCTGTGCCATCCAAGCAGCATAGATGTCTGGTAAACAGAGGAGGAAAAAGAGAAATTATTCTACGACCTCATCAGATGGGAGGAATTTCGCATCCTAGGATGCTTTCATCTCATTTTCTGGACAGAGCTCCATGCCGGCCATCGCATGAGGTTATGTGACTTCTGGTGGAGGCCCCACCCCCAAACGAGGTGAAAGCATCACCAGATGTTCCCCACAACACGGGAGGCTCCAGTGGAGTCAGCAGGGGACCTCTACAGGAGGGCTACGCTTCCACCATGTGATGGGGAGAGTGTCGCCGAGAAAGAGCTGTGCTCGGGGCAACAGATTCACACCACTGCCTTGCTCCTTTTGCCGCAATGCCAGTCAAAGCAGGACACTTCATGTTGCCTTTGTGATGAGACCCCTAGGCTTAGCTTCTTAAATATATTTCACTTTCTGTTTTTAGGGATGAGATTTCGGCTGTTTCTTTCAGACTGAACATTTTAAAGAAAGAGAAGATCTTTCTTTAAAAAAAACTTTAAGAGAGCTTTAAGGAAGGAATTAAGTTTGTATAACTTAAGGATATCACAAAACAAGTAGAGTTTTGGAGAGAATTTTCTAGGAGATGTCCTTTATCAAGCCTACACTTTAGCTTTGTCGGCTCATCATTATGACCATTGTCTTGTGAATCTTGGAACATAGATAAAGACAATAAAGGCTTGGACAGTTTTCTGGTTCGCCTACAACAGGTGCACTCTCACATCAAGGAAAGATATCAAACATTTTGGATTTTTAATACTTAAGAATAACTGCGAAATACAACTTTAGATGGGAGTCATGAAGCCCTCCAGATGTTGGAGGGCTCCCAGCATTCTTCGCCATTGGCTCTGCTGTCTAGAACTTTTGAGAATTACTGTCCAACAACATCTAGAGCCCCACATAATCATTCCCCATGCCATACCTTCATGATCACTATGTGTTTTGGCAAAGCTGAAGAGCATTTCACCCTGGGATGACTGGAGTTTGGTGAGCCGCTGCTTCCAAGGGACTGGAGGCATCTTGGACCCTACACACAATCTTTGCAGATTGAAGAGCTCTGTTTGGAAGGCCATTGGAATGGAGCAGTTGTAAATATTGGGGTTGTAGAATAAGAGTTGCTTATCTGGACAAGATGAAAAGTAGTTCAGAGATGCTAGGTGTACAATAAAACTAGCCCAGTTTTCAGAGAGTGGCTTTCAAACAGGCAATTCTAGCAGAATCTCAAATCTGTTGTACAGGTTGAGTATCTTATCTGCAGTGCTTGGAAACAGAATTGTTTTGATTTTTCACAGATTTTGGAATATCTGTATTTGCATATATGTACATAATGAAATATCTTGTAGATGGTACCCAAATGTAAACATACATTTTTGGAGATGGGACCAAATCTAAACATGAAATTCATTTTCATTACATGTACCTATGAGGAAATTTTGGTGTAAATAATAATAATAATAATAATAATAATAATAATAATAATAATTTGAATTTTTGGAATTCTGGATGAGGAATGGCCAACAAATTGCAGTAGTTACTTAATAGAGTCTGGTCCGTATATACAGAATAAAAAAATATTACCTATTTCTGCAAACTGATTGTGTTGGAATGACAGGCAGAATACTGTCTGTCCATTATATTTCCCACTGGGAGGATATCCATAACCATCCTCAGGAAATGGAGGGAACTCTGGGATACTGTGAATAACCCAAAAACCTTGGGATTGATCCAGGAGCAGAAATCCTGCCACGAAAAAGAGAAAACACAAGAAGATGAGAAAGAAACAACCTCAACCACCCCCTCCTCTTCCTCCTCCCCTTCCCCGTCCTCCTCCTCCTCCTCCTCATCTTCCTCCTCAGGCTGAACATGTCTTATCTGGAACTCCACAATAAAAAATGCTCCAAAATTGTCTACATGCATAGTTGAGATAGTGACACTTTTGCTTTCTGCTCATTCAATGCACACAAACTTTGTTTCATGCAAAAAATTATTTTAAAACATTGTTTAAAATTACTTTCAGTTTATGTGCATAGCGTATATATGAAATATAGATATATTTCATGTTTCTACTTGCGTTCCATTATGTATATGTAAGAATCCAAAATACTTCTGATCCCAAGCATTTTGGATAAGCAATGTTTCCCAAACTCTGATCTTCCAGATGTTTTGGACTTTAGCTCCCAGATTGTCCAAAACCACTGAGACTTCTGCAAACTGAAGTCCAAACACTGTCAGGACTAAGGTTTGGGAAACACTGGGATAAAGGATACAACATCTGTATTTATATATCTCCTTTCCCCCAGGTTAGGACTCAAAATGGTTTACAAAGTTTGAAACAGATACAGCTTTATATATCATGTCATACAAAAACTAATAATATAATTAAACTAGCAATACAATTGAAAGCAATTCAAAGCATGTCCCACCAAAAGAAAACAGCAAATAAATAGTGTAGCACATTATGAAAGGCTCTTCCTCTCTGATCAGTCAGCTATCGAAGACATACAGAAAGGTCTTCAGCTGCTTATAAAAGGACAGCAAGGAGGGTGCCAGTGTAACTGCCTTCAGAAAGCAGTTTCAGAGGATAGGGACAGTCACTGAAAAGACTTTTGCCTATGTTATCACGACCTTCAAACTGCAATAGCGATGTCCACAAAAGTGTGTGAAAGAAGGCCCTTAAAGCAAATTGGTGCTTTATGGTGTGTCTAATCACCATCCAGGCCTCAAACTGGTTGCAGGATTTTCTATGTAATCATCTGCACAGCAAAACCATTTTCTTCAATACTGGCTTGAAATTGAGGACCCATTTACACTGCCATGTAAAATCCAGATTATCTGCTTTGAACTGGATTACATGGCAGTGAAGACTCATATAATCCAGTTCAAAGATAATCTGGATTACCTGCTTTGGTAGTCTGGATTATAGTGTAGATCCAGCCTGACATATGTGGTTAGTGTAGATGTGCCCTATGGCTTCAAATGAAGGGTAACATCTCATAGCATCCTCAATATAAAGGATACTGTGAATACATAATTTGCGGTATTTTCTTTAAATCTTCTCCATACATTAATTCCTGAAATTTCCATTAACAATTGTGATTTAATCCTTACACTGTAGTTAGTTTGGCAAGTTCAATATGCAGGTAAGAAAAAAAATGAAAGCAGAGAACTCTGTCCAGAAAAGGTTGTTTCCTATGTGTATAAAATGTTGTTTTTCATGCAAGAAAACCACATGTGAATTTTGTATACAATGAATCCTAACTTTCATGTAGACTTTTGAAAACCACATGATTTTTGAAGACTTTATTGCAGTAAGAAGAAAATGCTTCCTTTTAGAAGAAAATAAGTGAATGACTTCATTCTTCCTTTAAAATGAGATTTTCTTTTCATTTTTAGTTCTCAAATGGGATATATGTGTGTGACCCAAGGGGGAAAATGGCTCATTTCAACTTTCCATATGAGCAATGGTTCCAAACGAGGAAGTAAAAAATGATGTGAACTTTAGATATATGTTACATATGGAATATAGACTGTAGTATAGCTCTAAGTAAGTTCATTAAACAAGAGAAAAGCAATGTTCATCTGAAGAGGCAACAAAGCAGCTCAGGACTATTTGTTAATACCTTTCGAATGTCCATGTGTCCAACTGTAATTCATTTTGTTAGGTGGCCCATCATTGTAGATCACATAGGCTGTACTGTTCTTCTAAAAAGACATATACTTCAATATTTTACCGAGTTTACTAAGTTCAGAAAGAAACAGAATATAAAAATGGCACTTTTCTTATCCTATTAAGAAAATACACAGAACCTTTCGTCACTACTTCAAAGCTTAAAATAACATCACCACCTACTATAGCAACTCCATAGCTTAAGTGATGCTGAAAAAAAGAATGCCAAAGTGAATAAAAGTAGTATTTTTTTTCTAACGACGCTCCATGCAGTCATGCTGTCCACATGACCTTGGAGGTGTCTACGGACAACGCCAGCTCTTCGGCTTAGAAATGGAGATGAGCACTAACCCCCAGAGTCGGACACAGCTGGATTTAATATCAGGGGAAAACCTTTACCTTTACTGTTGATTTCTATTCTTTAAGTTCATGTACAGTGAATGGCAGAATGCAGTTTCTGTTAAACTAACACTTTTCAAAGCACAATTGGCCCTCTACATTGGTGGGTCTGAATTTTGTGGATTTGATTGTTCATAGATTTGATTAAAATGTTCTCTGTAGGAATCTCTAGGTCCTCCAGTGCAAGTTTATGAACTTCTGGTGGCCATAAAATTGTATTGGAAAACCTAGAGATTCCTAGAGAGGTGTTCTCTCAATTTTTAAAATAGGGGATTTCAATCATGTTTTATTTCTTTGTTCAAACAAAGTTGTACTCTTTTTCACAAGAGTGCTGTGCCCCTGATGTCAGGAAATGATCCTTTGATAGGGGAATTGTGGAATTTGGTGTCTTAAACAGGCTACCACTGGCAGATATAGGAGGGAGATATGACTTCGATGAACATCTTTGTTATCCCCATTTGGTGAATGATGGAAACCTCAAACTGCCCACAATTATCATGTAGTCAGGGGGTGGGGAAAGTTACTGTCCTTGGGGTTGATCTCTGGGTTTTCACCTTTTCCAAGGGGTCACATATCTTGAGGGTTGGCACCAACTGGTCAGCCTTCCATTTGGATAGCTTGACTGGCAGCAACCCAATTTTAAAGTTGGACGCCTCTCAGGGGCTAAATTGTTCTTGGGGGAGGGAGCTCTGGGGAGGAGCCAGTGCCCCACTGCTTCAGCAACAGTGGGTTGTTGCTGAACCATCTCATTGGGTTGTTGCATTTCACTTAGAAACAATTACATAGGTGGCACAATAAAGTTGCCCAGTTTCATCACATATATTTGTGTGTGGCCTCGTTATTCCATTGGTTGATCAGCAAATTGACTTGCTTCAGCAAGACACTGTTTTACATTCTTAAGCAAGAGTGCATTGTCAGGACCATTTACAATGATAATTTTGTTTTAATGCAAGACCTTTAGTCTGCAGTCTTGCTTTCTCAATCAAAATCATCGCTTATGCAATGGCCGTTTAAGTTACAGCAACCCATTGCACAGCAGTCTTCCTTTCTCAATTTAAAATGCATAGACAGATGCCATGTCTTCTATTCTTATAGAAAGTTTAGGTTATACAAGACAAAGCCAGCCCATGCTTGTTCTAGAACATGCTCTACAAAACCAGTCTCCTCTAGTATATTTTGAGGGAAAACTGGGGGCTGGGGGCTGGTTAGATACCCTCCTCTTGTTGGCCTCAATCCTGAGAGGAACTGGGATATAAAATCCCACCTCTTCTCAGGATTTGGGCATGTGTGGAAGGGCCCTTACTTGGGAATATTTTGGCCCCATCTACACTGATTATTTAGCCTGGTAAGGGGATGGATCCGCCTGAAGGTGGTCATAAAACACATGCGGGCTGATCAGCAGTAACCAACAGGAAGCTGCTTAATGCAGCTGTACCACATAACTCAGTCAAAAAACATAAATCCTGCAGCAGGGTTCCCCCTTCCCCTCTCCAAAGCTCCTGATACATCATTTTGATGTGTCAGGAGCTTTCTCCAAAGGAATTGAAGATTCAGCCAGGTCTCTCTGATACGTTTGGAGGTAAAACGGTTCTGGCTCAGCTTACCTGTCCGAACGTATCTCTCCTTATGAACCATCTAGGACCTTAAGATCTTCTGGGGAGCCCTGCTCTCAGTCCTGCCTTCTTCATTGATTCAGTTGGTGGGAACGAGGGACAGGGCCTTCTCAGTGGTGGCCCCTCAGCTATGGAACGCCTTCCCTAGGGATATCAGATCAGCTCTCACCCTCCTAACATTTCGCAAAAAGGCTAAAACCTGGCTTTTTGAGCAAGCTTTCTCAAATGCAGTGTAGCAGACAAACTCTGATCTTTGGAATGACTGGACAATGTGATTGGATAATGATTTTAGTAATGAGATGCTGAGGATTTATACTTTTATCGGTTTTATTATTTTATTTAATGTTATTTATGCTAAATGTTTTAATTGTTTTTATGTTATTGCGGGCATCGAATCATGCCATTTGTTAACCGCCCTGAGTTGCCCTCGGGCTGAGAAAGGCAGTATATAAATATGGTAAACAAATCAATAAAACTAGGGGCTGGGAGGTGAGGGTGAGGGTGGAGGTGCCATCCCATTCCTTCAGGCTCTTAGAACCCAACGTTCATGGATGGCAATGGCAATTGATTCCCAGAATCACAGAAGGTGGCTCCGAGAATCAACTTACATAGATCCAACACCTGGAAAGTTCTGGACCTTGCAGTAAGGTCCGTATCTTCTCACGTGTTTTATTAATCCGGAGTAAACTGGGAAATCCCAGTTTACTTCAGATTAATCCAGATTAACATCACACATCGTTTGGACACCTCAGGTTAACCCCCAGTCATCACAAGTTTTCGGCATGTGAAGAAGCACCCTAAAAGACACTGGAAAATCAGATGTATATTAATACATATTAAGGGCCTAATCCTGTAAAAGCTTTTTGTTTTTAGTCCTATTTAAAAATTGCAACAAACATTTACTGTTGGTGCTATAATCTAACATAATCCCCAATTTTGTTTCTATAAATTTCATTTAGCATGTCATAAACTATTTTCCTCAATATTATCTTGTGTATTTCAATCCAAATTTTAGAGTCTTTTCTGAATTTTTGGTTTTGTTTGAATTTGATATTACTTGCCTTGGATTTGTAAGTTTGATAGAGTTGCTGTAGAGTTTGTCCAAGAGCACTCTCTGTCATGTTGATGAAATATTCACTCTGTTTCCAGACTGGAGTCAAGGAATCCATAAACATATATTCAAGCCCAGTTCCAGAAGCATTATAATGAATATGCTTTGGGAATTTATAAAGAATATACCTAAGTAAGAGGGTGTAAGCAAAATGAAAAACAATAGGAATCAGCTATGACTTACATGTGCATACATGTAGACAGGTTAGTCAAACTTTTTGGGGTGCCTTTAACTAGTATTGTGTATGCAAGGCTATATGTTTTCATACATGTTGGGAAATTCTCAAAACAGAAAATTTACTCTCGTTACCACTTAAAAACTATTTTAAATTAGGATATGAGCAGTAATTGGGAGAGTTAAGAAATGCACTTTCAGAAATATATTTTGAGTTTCTTTTAACATGAAATGCTTCCTTCTTCTATCAGTCTATGTAAGAATGGTATATCTATTTTCTGCAAGCAATAGTTTTTATGCAGCAGTTTCAGTTCTGCTATCTCTATGCCAAAAAATGCAGAAACCAAAAAAAAAGGTTGGTTTAAAAATCAGTAAGCTGAAAAATCTGTTTGGGGCTGTGTTTGTTTTTGCACAGTTCCTACTCTCGTTGAAATAAAATGCTACTACTTCTCCCCATAACATTTTAATTGTACAGTGTATATGTGTGTGGATACTGCCAGTGCAATTTAATTGAACCTGTTTTTGCTCAGCTGGCATCTTTTTAAAAACAGAGTCTGGGAATATCTTATACTAAGCAATGCATTCTTTGCAACATGTAACATGAAGCCTCATTAGATATTACACCAGGCTTGCTGATTGTTTGAGCAAGCATGAGGCTTTATATAGCATAAGACACAGACATTATAGTATAAGACACAGACAGAAATTATAGTGTACATCTACACATGCAGAAATAATTACTATAATTTACACAGGAATATATTTCATTATAGTGGGGGGAAATGTTACCAGCTGATTTGTGTGCTTGCTCAGTTTGCTGTCTATGGCCCCTTCCACGCAGCTGTGAAAAATCCACATTGAACTGGATTATAAAGCAGATATTGCGGATAATCTGCTTTGATATTTTGGACTATAAGGTTGTGTGGAAGGGCCCCTTGAGATATGTGAGTAACTCTAAGGCAGGGGTCCTCAAACTAAGGCCCGGGGGCCGGATGTGGCCCTCCAAGGTAATTTACCCGGCCCTCGCTCAGGATCAACCTAAGTCTGAAACGACTTGAAAGAACACAACAATAACAACAATCCTATCACATCAGCCAAAGGTAGGCCCACACTTCCCTTTGAAATACCAATAATTTTATATTTGTTGAAATTGTTCTTCATTTTAATTATTGTATTGTTTTTAAGTGTTTTTTTGCACTACAAATAAGATATGTGCAGTGTGCATAGGAATTCAATCTTTTTTTTTCAAATTATAATCCGGCCCTGACTATGACCTGGCCCTCTGTTTAAAAAGTTTGAGGACCCCTGCTCTAAGGTTTCTGCTCCCTATTCTTAAGATTATTGCTAAAGTGGACTTGCACAGGTCAGCTCTTCAATACAGCTGACACTTTGAAAACTGAAGATGACCTCCTATATATGATCAAAAGCATATATATGATCAATAATCATCTACCACCTGCTATAGATGGTTATTTACATTTTAACTCTGGATCTGATCCTATAAAGAGCAGGGGGAAGTGGCAGGAATCACGTCTATTCACTTTAAAGACAGAGTTCCATGGAGCTCATCAATCAATACAGGACTGCTTCTGGTGGAGTTCTTGTTCAAAGTGCTTGGAAATGGGAGGCTTGTGAAGCAGGGGAGAAACTGATCCACTGCTCTCCCTGTCATAAAAACAGCTAAAACCGGGTATTTTAAGTTGGGATGGGAACTGTTGCATTTTAAGGTGGGATAGGACCTATAGTAAAATTCTCCGTTTCTTTTGGAAACGGAAGGCTACTGAGCCCCCTTTTACACTGTCAAATAAAATCCAGATTATTTGCTTTGAACTGGAGCATAAGTCGGTGTAGACTCAGATAATCCAGTTCAAAGCAGATAATGTGAATTATTAACTTTGATAATCTGGATTATATAGGAATGTAGAAGCGACTGAATGTCACACTTAACAATTCCCTCCATATTCTCCTCCTTGTGGGTTGTATCTCGTATTTCAATCATGTTTTATTTCTTTGTTCAAACAAAGTTGTACTCTGCCTCAAGCTGCAAGCAGAAGCAGGTAATAAATGTATTATTATTATTATATCAATAATAACAACAATAATTATTATTTAAAGCTCAATGAGTTTTAGCCACTATCAAAAGAAATCATCCAAGTGACCATCGATCAGAACATGGAGCTTCATTTCCTGATTTTGCTTTGACTTTTCATACATATTCATCCATCCTTCCCTTGGGAGAAAAATATAATATAGGTCACATGGATGTTTTCTGTTACATATTTAGTTTCCATGTATGAAATGTATGTGTACTTGTCTCTCAGAACACAAAAAACTCAATGAGAGTAAAAACTTCAGGGAGAATGACTAGCTAATTCTGGGGTGTGTGTAACACTACATAGCAGAGGGCATTATCATCTCCATCCTCTTAAAATAAACTTCCCAATGAGTGACTAGCAAATATAAATGATTGAAGGGTGCTACTGTTGTAGAATGTCAAGAGGGGAGATAATTCAGCCCAAACCATGGTTATGCTGTCAGCCTTTTTTGTGGAGCTGGTTCAAAATGGAAATGCTAGCTGATTCCTCTCTCTTCTGCAGTCAGCGTTGGATCTTCGTAGGAGGGTGTGAAGGAGAAATCCCTTCTCTAAGTGCTGCAGTTTAACGTACGTGCCATTTGCAATGCTCCTCCTTCCCCAAGGCTTGGAATTATCATGCATAATCATCTTTCCGCTTGATCAAAGGGAAGAAGCCTTCTGTGAATCCATCACTGCTCTGCAATTAGTCATGCTGCAATGATGGCCTATATAGCACAGAATCTAATCAGATTTAGTAACTTACATTTCATTTTCCACAATATAGTTCAAAGGCTAGCTTAATAAGCCTCTAATATTCATTTATTCATTATTTCCACTTATAGTCAAGCGTCTGAGCTTTTTTATTTGTATTTTTTTTTAAAAAAACCTTTTGGTTTTGCTTTGCCATCTTCTAATGCCACCTGTTTTACCTACCAGTCAACCGGTTTGCCATCTTGGTTTATGCAGGAAATGTCAGTTGCCCACATAGGTTGGGTATATCCAAGTAACAGCAAAGACAGACTCCACAGAGATCTGACAGTCATCTTGGTTCCATCGACAGATGGCAAAAAGAGGAAGCACTCAGTACGACTGGCCTTATCTGGAGCTTTCTCTTTCTATTCAGTTTCATTTTACTTTCTGTAGTAAACAAAATGCAATACAAATGATTGTGAAGTACAGCTGAAACTGCTGCTTAATGTCATGTAAAGTTGAAATTCTGCATGGTTTAAATCACAGAGGCAAGCAGAAAATGGGATTGTATTTATTGCATTTTCCATCCTTCCGTAAAAGAGCACAAGGCAGCATTTCTTTCATCCTAGATTTAGAGGTAGCAACTGGCCAAGCACATACAAGGTAGAAAATATGACATCGTATTAGCCTACCTTCTCTTGGTAAAGAAAATACAAGTCCTCAAATCCCTAGGTGACTTTGATAGAATTACTTTCGTGCAATAATAATAATAATAATAATAATAATAATAATAATAATAATAACTTTGTATTGTCGAAGGCTTTCATGGCTGAAATCACTAGGTTCTTGTGGGTTTTTTCGGGCTATAGAGCCATGTTCTAGAGGCATTTCTCCTGACGTTTCGCCTGCATCTATGGCAAGCATCCTCAGAGGTTGAGGTCTGTTGGAAGTAGGAAAAATGGGTTTATATATCTGTGGAATGGCTGGGGTGGGGCAAGGAGCTCTTCCCTGCTGCAGTTAGGTGTGAATGTTTGGCTGATCACCTTCATTAGCATTTGAAGGCCTGCCTGAGCCTGGGAAAATCTGTTGCTGGGAGGTGTTAATCTGTGCCTGGTTTTTTCCTCTCTGTTGTTTAGCTGTTATAATTTTAGAGTTTTTTAATACTGGTAGCCAGATTTTGTTCATTTTCATGGTCTCTTCCTTTCTGTTGAAATTGTCCACATGCTTGTGGATTTCAATGGCTTCTCTGTGTCTTCTGACATGGTGGTTGTTGGTGTGGTCCAGCATTTCTGTGTTCTCAAATAATATGCTGTGTCCAGGCTGGTTCATCAGGTGCTCTGCTATGGCTGACTTCTCTGGTTGAAGTAGTCTGCAGTGCCTTTCATGTTCCTTGATTGGTGTTTGGGCAATGCTGCGTTTGGTGGTCCCTATGTAGACTTGTCCACAGCTGCATGGTATACGGTAGACTCCTGCAGAGGTGAGAGGATCCCTCTTGTCCTTTGCTGAACGTAGCATTTGTTGGATTTTCTTGGTGGGTTTGTAGATTGTTTGTATGTTGTGTTTCCTCATCAACTTCCCTATGCGATCAGTGGTTCCCTTGATGTATGGCAGGAACACTTTTCCTCTGGGTGGATCTTCATCTTGACTCTCGTGGCTTGTTCTTGGTCTTGCAGGCGAAACGTCAGGAGAAATGCCTCTAGAACATGGCTCTATAGCCCGAAAAAACCCACAAGAACCTAATAATAACTTTATTTATATTCTTCTCTATCTTGCCAAGGGGACTCGGGGCAGATTCCAACATAACAATGGCAAACATTCAGTGTCTACATAAACACATGATCCTAACATAAAATCCCAGAAAAACCCCACATATAAAAGTAGCATTATACCTAACATCAAATTAATAACCTAGCATCAGTAAATTAGATTTGACATCCATAAATTAAACTACATATAGTCAAACAAAATTCTATAATAACATAAATCTAAACAAAGCATCCAATGGACATCCCAGGGTTCCTTTTTCTTTCCTTGGGTGTGGAATTTGCATGACCCCCACCCACTGTCTCTCCCCAACCCTTTCTTACTCTTTCCAATGGCACACAGCAAACGGGAATTGATCAGCAAGGGTTCACAAAACAGTGTGGGTTGGTTATGTGGTCATTGGGCTGGTGTGGACCAAGGATCGACATACCTAACAATAGGTGGTAATCTATTAAAATTGACTGAGAAAAAGCACAGGGGTACTAAAATTCTATAAATTGTACTATATCTGTAGTGATTTTTACAGGTTGCAACAGTCATATGCAGCTAGTCTAAGCAGGGTGATGGATGTGGAATCTTTGCATATATGGTAGTGAATTACAGTACAGAAGGTAGTGTGCGGTCACTGATTGTCTCTTTATACTGAGTTTTTTGCATTGTAGTTGCCCATGGATTTTGAGCCACAATGGTCAATTGACCATTGCTTGATATATTGATGCACATTGATATCTTATATTGCCTAGTTAGTTGCTAGTGCATGGCTTAGTAGTCTTTTGGACCAACAGCCTTAATAAATAGCAACTGCAATGAGCAAAGGATGTCTTTTCAGATGGTTATCAGGGCATAGGAGAATAGATGTTTCCAGACCCTTCTGGCCAGCAAGCAAGGCAGTGACAAGGAATTGTGACAGGTGTCCAGTTTCTGACTGTTGCAACCTCCGTTGCGACTGGAGAAGGCTGGAGCACATTTCTGTGCCTTACTCACCAGCACTATCACTTGATGCCACTGCAGTAGGTTTTGGAGATATTTACGACAATCGTGGCAAAAATGCCATGATTAGTAAATATATAGTGTTACTGAATATGGAGCAGTTGCAAATACATAACTCTACGTTACAAATAAACAAATAGTTGCTGTTGGCAGATTATTCTGCATAATTTATAGGAAGGTAAAACATTACTAGTATGAATAGGTACACACCTCACTTAATTTCTCATTGCATTGCTATTTGGTGTATAATGACTCACATTTGGATATGTCAATACATTCAATTGTATTATATTTCATGGGAAGGGAGGAGGCCTGTAGTTTGTCTAGGGTGTTGGATCTCTGATGCTGACTCCTTCATACATGCACATGTCATCACAGAATGCTATAGTTGCTCTAGCGACGAACATGCATGAGCACAATAGCTTGGAGTCTCTATTGCATCCAGCATTTTTCCCCTCATAACCAGAGTGTTACACAGTGATGGCCCAATTTGAAAGCAGTGTATTTCATGATGGCAACATGATACAATTACACACAAAGTTGCAAATGATGAGTTATCAAATTATAACATTTTATGAACAATTTTCTGCTGAAAAAAAATCTAAAAAATAATCCGCAAATGGATAATATGTCATTAAACCTTATCTTTTGGGTCACCATCTTGAGAATGATTGAGGCTATGGGCTGTTTGTGTGCTGAGAAAGGTAGCTGGCAGTAATCCTTTGAAATGCTATGCCCCACTCTTTCAAGTCCCAAGGGTTTAATTTACAAGTGGTTCATAGTTGTACAGATAGATAGATTTTAAATCGTTTTGAAACCCCCTATATATCTTTTCGGGCTCATCTATACTGGGCAGTTTATCCAGATATAAATATGCCGTAGAACAGCCCCAAATTTGGCACATTCAGGCTAAATCTGAGGCCATTGTTCAGATGGCCCAGGAGCACATCTGTTCTGGTGGCATAGCCCTTGTGGTCTCCTCTTCTAAACTCTGGAGTATCCCCCAAGTTTGCCCAAAGCAGGGCCTAGTCAGTTAAAAGCAAAACAAATAAGCAATAAAATAAAATAAAATAAAAAAGAAGACAGTGGAAACTGTTGTGCATTTGGGGTGTGTCTGGGTTTTGTTTGATTGTTTGCAAGTGCAGGCAGGTCCTTGGATAGATATGTTTTGGATCTAAAGATACTGAATTCAGCCACATCGGTGGAATCCTGGACTAGTAGGAGCACATGGACTGGGACTCACTTTCTGAGGTTTTCACCTTCAAGTAAGGAGAAACAGTTTGAAATCGGTATCTTTGGCACATTTTATCTTTTGACAATAGTTAAATTTGTCAGTATAGAGGCTTCTTGAGGGATTAATTATATGTTGTCTACAAAGTGGCTTGTAGCCTTACACTGTACAGATACAGGCTTCATCTTGAAGGAACTAGCTTTATTTTAACAACTGCCTTGCCTTGAATTTTGGTCCCAAATGCCTCATGTACAAAATTGGCTGTGGTCTTTTTTCCTGTATCACCACAGTGTGATTTGTGTGTGCGTATATGTGTGAAGTCTGGTATATTAAGCTTTTATTTAGTTTCCTATTTGAGTTCTCCAACATGCCTGATATTGTACAAAGCCCATTTAGAACATGCTAAAGAGCCAAGTGATACGAGGCAGTAGATTCAACATAAAAGCAGTTAAAAGTATTTCTTTTCAGGGCGGAGGCCAGAAAATTTTTTTGGGGAGGGTTGACAATTTGGGGGGGGGGGGTTGAAAATTTCGGGGAGGGTTGAAAATTTTGGGGTGGCCTCCTAGCTCACGCTGAAGCAAAGAGCATAGCAGGGGGCAGAGCAGCCTTCCATAGCCTGCAGCTCTGCCCCTGTCAACCACCTCCACCAAGTCTGGCCTCCTTAATGAGAGCATTCAACACACACACCTAAAACTTGGTTGCTTTACTACATCGGCTATTTCTGCAAGTAATGACAGTGTGAATAAATTGTCAATATTTGCTTGAGATAGTGCTTACAGTTCTGGAGGGACTTAGCATGGGGATTTGGTTCACCAGTTAAAGTTCATGAGTAAACCAGTTTTTTTAAAAAAAATCTGAAACATTTCGGGGGGGGGGTTGAACCCCTAAAACCAACCCCTCGCTACAGGCCTGTTTCGTTTCCAGAATAATTTTACTTCCTGTGTGCTTTAAAGTTTTCGTTGGAATGCATTTGTCAGCCTTGATTATATGCTATGATGAGCATGCATTGGTTTCATCTATTTTAAATTGCTGGCTGTATGTGGCTTTTAATAGCTGTTATGGAGGTGATGTGTTAGCAGGTTTTCCACCTTCTGTACTGGTAAAATCATATTCTGTACTGCACAATTGTGCCTTAGTTCTGAAATTAGCTCCACAGAAGCTTTCTGTAATGATGATGACAATGATGATAATAATGATGACTAATAACACTATTAACCCCAATGAATGCAAAAAAAGTCATGAAGGTAACACAGTGGTTTTCCCTGGCCACTGAGTAGATTACCTGTTTCTGGTGCAATTTCAGGACAGCTACAACATTTTTAAAGGGTAGATAATCTGCATATGATATTGTATTTGGGCATACTTAGAAATAATACCACAAGCTCT